TGTGAAGTCGTTTGAAGAGTTGTGAAGTCGTTAAATCGGCGGTTTACTTTGGTGTTTTGTACTAGGTCCTGACGTGTGAGTTTTTGGTTGTGGATGCGGGCACAGTGTTCTTTGATGGCTCATTTTGTAGGTGCATTGTTATTAATTTACATATACCAGAGTCACAAGCAATGAGGAACAGAATTAGATAGTGAATTTATTAATAATAAATACATTATCTTAGAAAATACAAAATAAGCTGAACAACTTGTACTATGTAATAATATTCCATATGTGAGCCCTTTGCTTTACATAAAGCATTATATGTTAACTTCATGCTGCCATGCAGTTTATCAATGTAAAATTGTGGAATATTGCTACAACTATCCTCTTATACTCTTTTAGAATTCAGTTAAGTTGTTTAGTCACCTTTGATCAGGACTTCTCAGTATTTACATAAGCTCATACAGCCTTGAGATTGCTCGTATCAAGAATTTTTGTTTGGCCAAGATATGGTTATAAATGTTCTATTTGCTTCCTTTGTGTCAAGTTATCATTTCACCACATTTGCTGTATACGTGGGATCATCGACGCTCTGGAAGACAAATCCCCACCCAATGAGTCGAGTTTCAGAAATATCAGAATTTATCCTTGCTTGTCAACGCTTATGGTGCAGTTAGTTTTTAGAGATCAATGACACCATTGACTAAGATGCATTTACTGAATGACCACCATGCTTCACTGTATGTGTTGTACATGAGCTATGATACCTTTCTACCTCTGCCACTGAAGGTAACGGAGGTTATGATTTCACCCTCATGTTTGTGAGCAAGATTTCTCAAAAATGGCTGAATGGATATGGACGAAAGTTGGTATACATTTGGATATGACCCAACTTAAAAGTGATTAGTTTTTGGAGGGTCAAAGGTCAAGGTCACGAAAATCAAAAAATCCCTATATGTTAACATGGGAACCAATTTATTACACTATTTTTGCTCTGTAACTCAGTCAAAAATTATCAGATTTAGATTAAACTTAATGGACATATGTAGAATATTATTCCTTATTGTCCTGCCAAAAATGGTCCATATCCATTGATAAGAGCAGACATACAGACACATTTTTGTATTTTTTGAGAGCCAACTATGATCAATGCTGTATGGTGGAGGTATGTGCTCTACTGAGTGCCCTTCTAGTTTCTCTCTGGTATCAAACAATCTTTTGTTGTTGCCAAGCAATTCAAACTTGGATTCATTAATAAAAAAAAGTATAAAACTACAGCTTTGCTTTTTCCATTAGTATCGACTAAAGCAGATCTTAATCACTCCACACACATACCTGTGGACATCTCCTTGAGGGGGAAAGCCACACATAATTTCAACAAGAAGCAGTATTTCCAGACTGATTATACTCATGTTTGAGGAATGGATTGTACATCTCTGTTTAGTTGCCCTGTATGCAATCATAATATAAAATAAACTCTCAAATAAGTTATCTCAGCCGGGTTTAAAAACTTGGCAGGTATGTGCTAGATAGTTTGTATTATCCATTCTGTTAAACCATCAGATTGAGGGTGACAAGGTGAAGTATGCACCTTCACCATACCTAACAGTTTATACAACTCAAGGAACAAATAGCTGTTGAAATTAGCTTCCTGATCTGAGTAAATTTGTTCCAGTGCTCCATCAATAAATCAGCTACAAACTATGCCAATGTATCAATCAAAGGATAAGCCTCACTCACTTCACGAAACAGTCTCTGATATCCAGAGTTATTCTCTGCAGAGGAAATCCAATGATCTTTTGGGGCTTACCCTGCCTCAGACAGTTCTTCCTCTGGGCAGTACACTATACAGCATTCACACCAAACATCTTGACTCAAATGTAGCCAGAAAAACCACTGTAAAATGTTAGTACAAGTGTAAATAGAATATCTAGAGCTCTGGGGAACACTAGCTGGAGGACAGTCTGAAAACCACAACTCTGTAACTTATAGCAACACACCTTCAAGTATCACAGGTTATGTGTCCAAGCTATGCTCCTCTATTTGTGCTGACTGAGTATAACCATGCTGCATGGCAAGAAGCACCATGCCAGATCTGGGTTCTTCAGTTACTCTTTCTGGAGCATCTGAAGTGTTATTCATAGCATCCACCCACAAGTGGAATCTTCTACTGTGTGATTTGATGTTTCTATGATGGAAATGATTTTACTTCTCGCATGGTTTCATTGATTAGCATATTCCGTAAATGTACATGGCCTTATTATACAGCAGTATGGTCCTTCTTTGTTTCTATGTTTTGGGCCTGGGTAATGCACTGTGATGAATCCATATTCTTGCAACATTGTTATCCAATGTGCTGTCATCTCTTTTAGATTTTTAAAATTCATTAATTATTTCATGAAGCATGGTCCACCTGGATAGTGAACCTCGTACCATACATAAGTAGTGGCAAAAATGTTCTACGAAGATTACAATTGCAAGAAGTCTTTCTTTGCAGTACAGTATCTGCATTCAATAATCATTAGCGAACAATCAGCATATGTAATTACCATTTTATTCTATCCTGCAACTGCAATAACCCCTTCTAACTTAAATTATCACAAGGGATATAATATCCAATAGGAATTCATTGTCTTGTCATGAGTATGCCAGAACAGGAGCAAACATAAAAGCAGATTTTGGGGATTCCATCGAAAGTGCATCTCAATTTAGGTGAGAGCAGGCAGTGATGCTACCAGCTTGAAAAAAATTGATCACGAACTGTCAGAAATGTGATGTAAAACAAAGGTAACTGAAGATTTCTTACTTAGTCACAGGTTGAAGCAGTATGGTCCTTCTTTGTTTCTATGTTTTGGGCCTGGGTAATGCACTGTGATGAATCCATATTCTTGCAACATTGTTATCCAATGTGCTGTCATCTCTTTTAGATTTTTAAAATTCATTAATTATTTCATGAAGCATGGTCCACCTGGATAGTGAACCTCGTACCATACATAAGTAGTGGCAAAAATGTTCTACGAAGATTACAATTGCAAGAAGTCTTTCTTTGCAGTAC